TTCCCGAGATGTCGGCTCCATGCTCTCTCTCTCATCACAAGTGACGAGAGAGCATGGAGCTGCTTCCCAGCCAATCAGGAAACCGGGCAGTGTGTAATGACATGCCGCGCGGCTTACTGATACAGGAAGTAGGCGGCTAGGGCATCAGAGCATTTGGGCGAGTACTCGCCCAACTACTCGGTATCGGCACCAATATCAATACCAGTATCGGTACATCCCAAGTTATCACCCCTCCCACAAATCCTTACTATTTTAGCAAGCAATAGAGGTGACGCACCTGTACTGTATTCCAAGACACAGGTAAGTCGGAAATCTAAAGTTTCTTCATTGGACAGGACAGAGGCAAAGTGAGATAGAACAGGGACATCACTAAGCAATAAACCATACCAGGGTGGGGGTGGGCCTTAAAGGAGAACTATGAGGGGGGGAGGGCGGTGCTTTTCACTCACCTCATAGTTCTAGCCGACCTGTGACAATGAGACTGTCACAGGCCGGCTCAGTAGATCGGGAGGTGAGTGAACACATACCGGGTTCGCTCACCTCTCGATCCTGTCACGGCTCTCTGCCGTGACAGGGGCTGGATTCCCCTCTCCCCGCTCCGATCTGCCAGCGCTGACTGGCGGAACGGACGGGGGAGGGGGCGGGTACAGCTGGCTCTGCCTCTAGATAGGCAGAGCCAGCTGTCACTCACGCAGCTGGGCAGATCCCGTCATCTACATCGGGATCCGCTCCGGCTGCAGCGTCTCAGTATATAGGGAGCTGTAGCTCGCGGTATACTGAGCCTAGGGTGGCGGGAGGACGCTAGTTTGTGTCCTCCCGTTACCCTAAGGAGAACTATGGGGGAAAACACTGACCCCATAGTTTTCCTTTAATATTGCAAGCAACCATCAACCACAAACCAGAACAAAAAAAAAAGAGACACTCAAGAGCCGGCTGCCATTGCTGCAGAGACCCAAACATGCCCCCTGACCAAATTATGTAAAGAAAGGCTTGAGTAGGTTGCACCCTCACAGGAAGGAAAAGGCAGAACCTTCCCTTTAACAGAAGGGCAGGTCTAGTCCACCGCTAAATGGTGGCACAAGATGCAAGAACCCCAAGCCAAGGTCCTTAAGGAAGGCCAGAGCCCATCAGATTGTCTGAGCAAGGCTGTAGCTGAGAAACTCAGACAGCCTAAAACATCCAAACAATGGGAGGACAACCTCCTTAGGGACGTTTTAAAGCCGATCAAAAAGGAGACCTATATTCTAATAAAAGGTGAACGGAGGACCCAACCTTAGGCAACAAGGAATCTCTAGGCCTGAGAATGACCTTATACTTGCAAAGAATGAGTGGAATAGTTCCTTGCACAAGTGTTGCCAACTCTCCCAGAAGTAGTACCAGAAACAAGGAAAACCACATTGCATGTGTTTCCTGTTGCAGGCAGGCGGAGCCTATATCTCGATGGCTGTCCTGGAAGATGACTGGGGAAATCTGAGATTTATCCCCAACAGGATTTAAAAGGAAGCTCGCAGGATAAACGTACCAGAATGAGATTGCACAGCCTCACCATAGCGAGCCTAGGGGTAGTCATGGGAGCAATCCTCTGCACAAAAGCCTTTACTATGGAATAAGGAGACCAACAGCAGCTCAAAAAAACCCAAAGACTGGACAAGGCCAATATTTGTCCCTCAGGGCAAAGTACGGATCTAATCCCAATTGAGGAAAAAGGCCAAAAACCATCCCAAGGAGGAAATGTCCTCGTACACAGCAGGAGAAGAAAGCCCTGCAGGGGTGATGCGCCTTGCGAGAGGTGGACTTACTAATCTTCAATAGGAATGTTGAGTCACAGACCTCCATCCCTCAGAACCTGAGCTTCAAACAGCCAAGTTTGTCAAAGCCAGCAACCAAGTAGGGTAGAGTACTGGGCCTCCAGACAAGGTCTGGACAGTGTGGCAGAAACCACAGGAAGTCTGCCAGCATGCAAAGTACGTCCCCGTACAACTCTTCTGGGTCAATTGGCAGCCACCAGTATCACTGGAACATCCTCCATCCCGATCCTACACAGTATACATGAGGACTAATCCAACAGCTCCACCGCTAAAGCTTATGGAACCCTCAACCAGGATACAAACCTGTCTAGTTTGTTGTTGGGTCTGGATGCCAAAACATCTACATCTCCCATTGGCTGAAAATCTCCTTGAACATTTTGGAGGTGTAGAAACCATTCCCCTGCAGACTAAGTCCGCCTGCCAATAGTCCACACCTGGAATCTGCACAAAGCCAAGGCGCGATGTTCTGCTCAGGCCATGATCAGGTCCGCTTCTCTGAGCACAGCACCCGATTGCTGATGCAAGCCCATGGCGTTGTCAGACTGGACCCTCAACAGCAGGGGTAGCAAACCTCCATCCCTCCAGCTGTGGAGGAACTACAAATCCCATGAGGCATTGCAAGATTCTCACAGCCAGACACGACTCCTGAAGAGAGCTGCATCATGGGACTTGTAGTTTCACCACAGCTGGAGGGCCGGAGGTTTGCTACCCCTGCTCAACGGCCGCCCCTGAAGAGAGCACGTCCAGTGCTGAAGGAAGATTTGAATCACCATCAGCTCCAGAACATAAACAGGAGCACCTGGAGGGGGGCCACCGTCAGACCCAGAACCCTAATGCCAAACCCCTGAAGGAGGCCTGGTCTGACTTTTGAACTCAGGGACAGAACCTTCACCAGAACACCGCTGGCTTAGTTTATAACCAAAAGGGGAGTGCTAGGAATCAGAAGCGTTCCACTCCCAAAGCCAGGAATCTTTGGAGCGGAGGAAAGAATGGCACATGCAGGAAGGCATCCTTGATGTCTAAGACAATAAAATCTCAGTTGACGGCAATAATTATGCCAATTCCATACAGAACTTCCAAACCCACAGAAAGTTTTTGAGAGATTATAGTCCCAGGATAGTACACACTGAACGGACGGGGGAGGGGGCGGGTACAGCTTGCTCTGCCTCTAGATAGGCATAGCCAGCTGTCACTCACACAGCTGGGCGGATCTCGACATCGATGTCAGGATCCGCTCCGGCTGCGGCGTCTCAGTGTACCGCGAGCTGTAGCACCCTATATACTGAGTTTAGGGTGACGGGAGGACGCTAGTTTGTGTCCTCCCGTTACCCTAAGGAGAACTATGGGGAAAAGCCCTGACCCCATAGTTCTCCTTTAAAGCCTGAGAGGGGGAACGGAGCACGGCAAGATGGAGTGGAGCAGCATATCAGAGCTGAGAGACCTGGGATACCCAGGGGGGTAGTAGGGGCAGAGACTCTCCCACCGCAGCATCAAATCTAAAACAAGGGAAGGGGGAATCTGCTGGCCCCTTGGCTTCATTCCTTTTGGGGGACTTTAGGGACAGTCACACCAGTATGGAAACGCAACTACCCTGGACCTGTATAGCACACTGCACCACATGCCATGGTGGGAGTCCAACACAGAATCCAGTGCCCCACGCAACAATACAGACCAACTGTCTTCATCCAGTGGGGTCCAGGTATGGTCCCCGAAGCTGTTGCCATGGGGCACCAATTTGGAAGCTGTGAAGTTGCCACCATGGGTGGCTGCAGCAAGAGAAGCTTGACTGAGATATATGTAGTGTTACCGTATTTCCTGCAATTCTTCAGTCGAGACGAGACATTACCACCTTAAAAAAGGATACAGGGGGGGATTCTTGGGAAAGAAAGGGGATTAAATGGAGGGCCTCACAGCCATAGCTAGGTACAGCTGCCCGTTTCCCAGTCGTCTCTGAATCTGCCTCCGTCATGTACAATCAAGAAAAAGACTAACCCTGGGAAGGTTCCCGTGCCCAGAACAGGGCTTGAAGTTCTTCAGACACTAAGCCGGAATGGATCTTCATTTGCCCAAATCATCCCGTGACTCTCTAATCTACCCAACAAAGTCCAAATCCCATTCGCACTGCCACGGTCTCAAAACCACAAGGTGTATGTGGTGGCCATGTGACCACACGGATGGCGCCGCATTCTGATGAAGGATCCCTGTGCGGACCCGAAACGTTAGCACCGTATGACAGTATGTGACATTGGGTGTTGACTAAACATGTCAATACTTTAAAAACCCTTCAAGTGTGTGCCGGTGATTTACTTTTATTCTCTAATCTACCCGGGATTTCCAAAAAGCCAAGAAACAGAACAGACCGAGTCAGCAATTAACCAAATTCATCTTTTTGTTTGTTTTTTCTTTAATAGATTTTTTTGCATGTATAGATGTTCCATCCAAAAACTTCACACTCGTTAAGAGTTACAACCTTCATATCTTTTTTGTTTTTGTTTTGTGTGTGTGACATGCGTCAGAAGATAAATCACCGTTTTATCTCGGCGCTTACATGACTCGATTTGTATCCGGATTGAACTCGTACATTTAGAGAATTCAGGAGAAAAAAAAAAAAGGACACAGGAGGGTGTTGCCAATTGTAGCAGCAATTAATTATTACTAACCTCAAGATTTTCCATGGTTTGCGTTTACAGATCCAAGTCGCGACCAGGAAGTGACTTCCTCCCCACCCCCCAAAAAAAGTCACCAGATACAAAAAAAAGAGAAGAACGGCAAGTTCACCATTTGACTTGAAGCTGCTCCCTACGTTCATCCCTTATGTTAAATGTATAAACCGCAGAGACATGGCCAATTTGTACACGGGGTGGGGGAGGAGGAGGATACTTTTTGTTTCCGTATAAAAGTGCCGTCATTTACAGGAGTTAAATCTTTTTGTGTAGTGCTACAAGTGTGAACATTCTACAATCGGGAACAGTCAAGTCTATCAGAGAATCCGGGAAGAGCCGAATCTAAAAGGCTACAAATTCATTTTTTAGTTTACAATAAAAGACTGAACACCGATCGGAGGCAAATGAAACCGTGTTAGAAGCTAGTACACTAAAACTGGTGAAGTAAAATGGAAATTGGCCCTCATGAGTGCTGAATGATTTTTAAATA